AATAATCATTAACAATTCATGATCTTTGCTTATTACGTCGTGTCAGTTTAGCTTCCTCCACAATAAAAGATGTTTTTTATCAAATGGCTGGCGTTTTGATAGTTATCATTAGCCCTTTAGTTGACTTCGGACTTCACAGATGGGATGGAACAACAAAGTGAAGAAGGTCGAGAGTGGGGGGGGGGACAGAAGAGTGGTTCAAAGATGTAAGAGACAAACACAAAGGTAGAACAAATGTGAGATGAGTACTGTGGAAATATTCGAATATGGCATTGAGTGAGGTGATGGTAGTTTGAAGTGAGAAGTCAACTGCCGGCTTATACTTTTTGCCGCATGAGCATACGTTGCCCAGGGTGCACCACGTGGAGGTAAGTCTATCGCACACCCCATAAAAAAAAGATGTAAAATCAATGAAATGAAAACAGGTCTTAGTGTCTATCATTATTTAAACAAGATTGATACAAACATCTACACCGCTCACCAAAGATCAGCTGAAATGGTCAACTGGGGGGGGGGAGGAGGGGAGGAGGGGGTCATTCGTGGAAAAATGACATTACAATTATTAGATTTCTTTTACTATGACCTAGCTCCCAGCTTTTTCCTGAACTGTACTGGTCACCACGCAGGACGCATCTACTTTGGATGTGGTTGTAACAGACAGGGAGCTTAGTCATTGTAATACAATGAAGGATTTGTTAAATCAAGCAGGGGCCATTGATTGGCTGCTGGCTGAGGGGTCTCTGAGCTCACACCACACTTGTTCCCTACGCGAAAAGTAGCACGTCCGCACCTTCGAATGTGTCTGAGTGGGCATGCAATTTCTTTGTTTAACCATGCCAGCATTGTGTGCTTCACGAGCTAAACCATAGCAACCTCACCCTCCCCTCCCCCATCCTCCGAGAAACCCTCTCAACAGTATTACGAAAACCGAATGTAAGTTGCGAGGAGCGTTTATTTCGTAATATGGACCCCCCTGCCAAGACATTGAGCACAACTTTGAATAAATACTAATTTTTGGTTAGCTGAAAAGATCTCTTCTCACACGACGTCATTTGCTGGCTAAGCAATCGGTACCACGACCACACTTTGTTAAATAGTCTGGCTTTATCGAGGTTACTTTACTTGACATCGATACCGCCGTTCACTTCAGGGAACTCCTCTCTCTCTCTCTCTCTCTCTCTCTCGTTCCGAATCGTATCGCGTACATTTTTTTGTTTGAAACAAATAAAATGCCTTCCCATGATTACGGCTTGCAGCATTTTTGTGCTGAAATCGGCACAAATTACTCAAAAGGACCTTGCATATATTTGCATTGTTCGTTGAAGGGGGGGAGGGAAGAGAATGGTTCAGTGTCAAGGTTAGGTGATATCCACACTTTGGGATGAAATGAAATTTATAATTGAACAAAAGTATCCAATGAAATCAAAGTTGGCACTCACTTGAAACATTGATTTGTCCACTTCGTGGTGTGCTAGTTTTTTTTCTCAAAAACTTCATAATTTGATCATATGATTCATAATGAGGCGCATCTCGTCGACAACAAATTAATTGCGTAGAAGAGATTAGTCACTTTCATCTCATTTTTAGGCACAACAGATATGCGATTTAACTCCGACAGTTTGGACCCCAAGGCGAGGTTTCGATCAAACAGTCTGAAGGTGGGACGAAGAGAATTGGAGATGCTACAGCTAAACGTTCCCAGCCTTTTCCCCCGTCAGCACCTTAAACGATCTGTGGTGAGTTGTGATCACTTTTTTCTGGTCCATAAGTAACGCGTTGGTTTAATGATGAAGTTTGCATACACTTGCCTAACTAGAAGGAAGTACATGGATGCGCTTCAATCATTCTTATCCCCTCTTTGGGAGTTAGCGTAACCGTGAATTAGGCATTGAGAGCTGTTGTTAGTCTTGGTGACCCCGCCATCTCGTCTACGGCCAGTGGCGTGGAATTAGTGTGATATCACGCTGCGGAGTTCCTTCGACAGTACATTTTTTGTCCTTGTGCTTTATTCATGGCACCCAGTGGAAGCCAACGACTTCACTAGATGCCTTCATCGAGTTGTCTTGGCCAAGGCTTGCCTCCCTGGTTCTCTTTGGAATGCGATTACTCCAAACGAGTTTTAAAATGGGAGAACTTGGGAGATTTCAAAACTCTTTGGCTCCAGACGTAATCAGAGTTTTAGTTTGATTTTCTTTTTGTTTGGCGGTTTTCTACAGTTTGTCATTCCTTATGCCCATTTTAACGGCCTACAAGCTGAAATTTCAATCTGAAATTCCAATCCAACATAAATCCTCGTCGTCAAATCGAGAACGTATTTCAATTCAATTCAATCTTGGTGCGGTATGGCTCAAAGCATATTAGGTTATTTAAGCAATTTAAGGGATGGTCTTGTAGCAGAAACAGACAGAAGTCAAGTGGAATAAATATTGACAAGGTCAAGTGAAAGCACGTAATGCTTAATTCACAAATAAGCCTCAATTTTGACTTCCTACAGTTAAAAGAGTTTGGGGGGCGACCTTGAAGCTTTAATCTAAGGATGTCACAACATCGATAGTCCCTCATCTGAAACACCCTGCACTTTGTTTAAAATTTATAGCATTTGGCTCTACTTTTGAATAAAATGGGCTGAGAATTGTTACCTGGGATTTCATTCGCTGATTTATTTAGTTAGTTATATCAAATGGGAGGATATGTGATAGTTATCTTTAGCTCTTTAGTTGACTTCGGGCTTCACAGAGGGGAGGAAGAACATCAAAGTCACAGAAAATCGAGAGAGTGATTCACATGTGCAAAAGGAAGACAGACACAAGGGTAGAGGAAATGGAACCGTGTGTACTGTGGAAGGGGTCGACTATGACATACAGTGGGGCCATGGTAGTTTGAAGTCAGAAGTTTATTTATTTCAAATGGCAGGCATTTTGACAGTTATCGTTAGCCCTTTGGTTGACTTCGGGCTTCACAGAAGGGAGAAACATTAAAGTGAGAAAAATTCGACAGGGGGAAAGAAGAGCGATTCACAGATGTAACAGACGGACAGACAGACAGACTTAAAGGCAGAGAAAAGGCTAGATGAGTACTGTGAGGGGTCGAATATGGCATAGAGTGAGGTGATGGCAGTTTGAAGTCAGAGGTCAACTGCCAGTTAATAGACTTTTTTGCCGTATGAATATACGTTGCCCAGGGTGTACCACATAGAGATAAAACCCCCTCATTCGCAAACAAGATCATGGAATTAAAATTGTCAAAAAGTTGATAACGATCAAGTTAAAAGTATTGATGATATTTATATTTCTGATAATAATTTCTGAAGCCGATGATATGCACACATCCGTTTACATACCTAAGTTCAAATGCAATTTGATAGACAAGAATTGCTCAAATATTGTTGGGTGAGATGTCAATAATTCTCAAATTTTAGCTCTCACTTTGACAAACGGCAGGATCTTCGAATCAATAACATGGTTTCCACTTGCATACCAATCTCATTTTTAATCAAAAGCAATTTAATATCACACTTGATCAATTATATTTCTTGGAATATCTGGCACAACTTCGAATGTAGGTGGGGGCAGCGAGTAGTAAGGTGAAAAGAGCGATCCTGTGAATTTGGGTGGAGAAGGGGTGGGGGGG